TTCATCACTGTCAGGTACCCACGTATATATATATACAGTCAGCCCATATTAAAGCCACAGCAGACCGTCACGTGGCTTCTGAGCTCGGCCTAAGACTGCACACTCCTTACATTTGTGTGCCACGCAGGTCAAATTGGAAAAGCGCAGAAACTGACACGTGTGTGCTACAAAATGTTTTTTTTTTCTGATGGAATGTGACATGAATGTGGGATGGAAATGTAAGTTATTTTCTTAACACGGCCTGATGAACAATGAGACCGGACCTGGTATTGAAACCACGAACAATTTTACCATTGAGTGCAGTTGGCAGGTGCAGTGCTCTTAAAAAAATATATGAAATATGAATGTATCTGCATGCATAAGACTTTTACTGGCCACCCTCAATTAAAAGCAGTCTATCTTGAAAGCAAGGGATGGACTTTGCTCTTAGTACATCACACTTCCAATCAGAGGGTCATTTCAATCCAGTGTGGTAACCATAGCGACAATTTGGCTCAAAAGACACATTTTGGATAAGCGCTGAGGTTGATCTCTGAGCTTTCAACCCTCGATGAGCTCCAGCACAGCTTGAGATCTGAAGCAATCTTTGGTCCTTCTTGCAGTCAGAAGTTATTTATTTATTTTTGGGGCTCTGATGAGTGAGTCTGCCCATTTTCAATAAGGTCTCTTTCATTTAAAAAAAAAATATATATATATATTCCCCTTGCCGTTTGCAAGCACTTTTGGTTCGACTCGTTCTTATCCTGGTTTGTTTTGTTCCCAGCATTTTATGTTGGATGTATTGTATTCGATCTTCTCTTGGTGTGCGTTTGTGGGATCCGCTCCTGGTCCGGAACCTTAAGAAGAACGAGGCGCTTAACATATTGAACGACGGATCCTGGAGCGCGGCTGTGGAGTATTGGATGCACCCAATGTTGCTAGTCACATCCCAATTCGCAGTGCAGCTCTCCAACTCGGTTGTCTCGCTCTGTATGTCACGTCTGATAGAGCAACTTGTCGGCAGAGCGAGGTGGCCACATGCTTTCCTGGGGCCCATTTTTGAACCACGCCCAAAAATCCTGACAATCGAGAAGGTGAAAAAGAGTTAATGCAATTCAGTTCTCAGCCTTTGCACGCCTTCAGCACTTATCTTCAAATGTATTTCGAATCAAATTACAGAAATGACTTGACAGGAACTTTTGTGGTTGTGCCTGTCGCTACAAATTGCTGACATTGATCGATGAATCGAAATACATTATTTGTAGGAGCTCATTTCGCATCAATTAAGTAGATAATTTACCGTGACACACAGGTTGGGAATCACCCGCATTGATGTTGTATGCGTGCCCATACCCTTTAATAATTTATCTTTTTTTTTTTTTTCGTCATTCAGTGGTTGGAGTGGACTACTCAAATAAAGAGGTCCGTTTTCCCTCCTGACACAAATTCCAATTCCATTCTGCGTTCTGAGAATGATCCAGTGGCTTCATTCCCATCCGTCAATGCTCCTCATTGTGTGACAAAGAGGAGGCCCATTCTTACCCACGTCTCTCCTTTCTCTAGCACGGCAAACTCCTCTCGGGAGTTCGTCTGTTGCCTTTGGCGTGATTTCCACGTCGTTTGAGCACCCACGAGCGAGCTCGTCTCTGTTCTCCGGGCGGCACCAATTAAGGCGGGCTGGAGCCGGGGCAAGTTGTGACAGAATTGGACGACACACCAAGGCGAAGAGCAAAAGGACAACGACGGCGCAGGGAGGAGGAGGGGCCTGCGGGTGCAGCAGACACAAGCGGAGGAAAACCGGTGAGTGTCTTCTAGTTGACAGTGTGGCTGGGATGTGCACACATTTTCATGCTGAAATGAGGGTTTTTTTTTTTTTTGCGGCTTGATGAATGCGAGGCGGTGTTTTCTTTGCTCAGTGCAACTGGAATGTTTTTTTTTTCTTGATGTTAGAAAAAATAAGAGCTTCCCTTCTAATACACAAACCACCCCGCTATCGGTAATTAGGTAAAGATAAGTGCCCCTATTTCTCGAATATGGTATTGATGATATTCTAATGATTCTATTTCCCCCCCCCAATTGTGTCGTGCAGCATCCATTTTAATCATCCTTTGGCCTATTCCTTTCCTTGCTTTGTAAAGGCTGATAAAATAAGAGTTCGGCTGATCATACTTTGGCTCTCGCTATTTTCAGCCTTGCAGCACATCAAATAACGGCTCCATTTTCACTCGGGCACCCAGTCGATGAATTAGGAGGAAGAGGTCAAAATGATCTGAGAGATACACTCAACTTTCTCATCTCTGATACCTCTGATTTCATACCAGGCTGAGATCTCGTGCCTATAAGGCACATGCTGGAACAGTACGAGTGAATTTAGATGGGTCGATGCTGCGGATTAGAAAAATCTAACCCATCTTAAAAGCGTGAAGGCAGCAAATGATGAAAGAGTAGGTGACTCTTAAATCACATATAGACTGTCAGGCTCTTACCACTGAAGAAAATATTGCCAATAGTGTAGACTTTTTGGGGGAAAATTAATTCCAAAAATTCAAGCCTTTTTAGGGCCTTACGAGAGGCATTTGTTCAATCTAATGAGATCTGATGCAAAAGTTCTGCCAAAATCTATGCCTTAAAAAGATCATGTGAACACCTCTCAGTATCATACAATGCAAATTATGGACACCCCTGCACAATATTGTTCAATTAATACCAATTAGTAGGAGTATTATGGTGGCATTACAAAAACCGTGCGTATGAACTGGGCTGTGTTGACATTTTATATCCACCGGAGATGATCACTTCTGTGTATACTGGCTACACTGTATCGTGTGACATAATCTCATGCGCAATATTCCCTCTCGGGCATATTTCAACTTCACCGAGTGATGCCAGCTAACAATTGACATCATTGTTGGCTTTCCAGTCTCTCTTACCGTAGTAAATAGCATATGTTATATAATCATTCTAATCCGCCTGCCTGCCCCTTCATTTGGTGCAAGTTGAATTAGCACGCACTCACTCACTCATCGGCAAAGCGGCCTCACATCACAAATTTATAGACAGCAACCATCCTTGCCTGTCATGGGAAGTATTAACTCTTCCGGTTTGCACAGATGTGTGGACTGAAAAAAAAACATAACAAACCCCCTCGCTAACACAAATGTCAACTCACAAAACCATATGCCGATGAGACATCTATGATCCCTGTGGCTGTGTTGATTATGCTGTCACTGAAGTTGATTTAGATTAAACTAGGATGTCATTGGGAGGTCAGCAGAGGGTCAAATACGGCAGCTTGGTCACGGAAGAGATCTATAAGGAATTGATAGAAAGTTATCAATGTGACAGGAGATTACACACACACACACACACACACACACACACCCACACCCACACACACACACACAATAGTATTTTCAGAGCTTAAATAAGTGGTAATTATTATGACAGTTCACTGGCAGTTAAGAGTGGTGATAATTTAGAAGCAAAAAAAAAAAAAAAAAAAAAAAGAGTTCCTTCAAGTGCTTCTGTCTTTGTATCACCTTAGCAGCAATAATCTCTCAAATAGAGAGCTACGCTGATTCGGGAATTGCATCATCGAAATAGATTGCATTTGTATATCCTGACCTAAGGCTACACATCATATAAAGAATAGACCGTCATTTTCTATGTCCCCGGGCATTATTATTCGGAGTAAAAGCATTTCCCCTTCTGTTCAAGCGTCTCTCATTCGCTTGGCCTTGCTGATAAACATGCCCGGACTGAGGTTTTTGTACAAGAATTAATTATTTAGTGGGATTGCACCTTGCCAAGCTCCCTTTGTATTTTCTCCTTACGCTTGCAAACTAGGACAATCGTGCATTGATGCAGGCTTCTTACTGCATAAAACACATTGCTTGCCTCCTTTGCTCTGCTCCTATTCTTGTACAAGCTCTTTGTTCATTAATGACACAAACCTGCTGTGCCGCTCCATTATTTGAATTTCACGGCACTAATTGCCAAATCACATAATAGTGATGGATTTACATTCAACAAGTACAGTTATTGAATGTCATACTTACTTGATGCCTACACCAATATGTATTACATTTGACAATTTGGAACGTTAGAGTTGGTCAAGCATCGTGGAAGTTGACGTAATTGATTTGCTTTTGGGGGCGGCCTGGTGAACGAGTGGTTCACGCGTCGACCTCACAGTGCAGATGTCGTGGGTTCGATCCCGGCTCTGACCTCCCTGTGTGGAGTTTGCATGTTCTCCCTGAGGCTGCATGGGTTTGAAACCGGCTACTCCGGTTTCCTCTCGCATTCCAAAAACATGCATGGCAAGTTAATGGAATACTCTCAATTGTCCCGAGGTGTGAATGTGGATGATTGTTCGTCTGTGTGTGTGCCCTGCGATTGCCGGGCAACCGGTTCAGGGTGTCCTCCGCCTACAAAGACAGCTGGAATAGCCTCCAGCACCCTTCCGCAAAGCTTGTGAGGATAAAGCGGATCGGAAAATGGATGGACGGATAAAATGATGTGGCAGGCCAGATCTGGTTCCTCCGGGCCTTGAATTTGACATCTGTGCCCTCTGGGATCATTGATAACTTGTGTAAGTGTTCATTTATCAGCATGTTCATGATTGCTTTTTAAAAAAAATTTTTTTTTTAAGTTGCCGTGTTGTAGAACCGCACTTTCTACAGGTCTGGCATTTACAGTAAACCGTGCTGACACTACGGATGTAGTATTTGCTCAGGAAAGGAATTCAGTCGAAAACACATGTCCACAGACAGACGTGCTCATGCTGGGCAAAAAGTGAAAGTGTTGCCATGTGATGCAACCGTTTGCAATTTTATTGTTACAATGAGAACAAGCTCTCCACATTTCCCTCTTGAACGGTGAATTATTCAGGGCACAACATGCAGCTTTTTCTGTCAAGCCAAGTCGCCGGGCAATCGCCTGGCACAGTTGCTGTAATAACCGTGGCTCATATAAGATGCAAGCAGAGCCCAACCCGAGCTGGAAAAGAAGAATTCTTCGCAAAATGAGCACAAGAGAAGCTTCAGCGTTTGAATCATTTTTATCTCTCAAAAGCATGACCTACATAACTAGTTCTGGGAATTGACTGCACATTAATATTAAGCAGCAACTTTTGTGAGTCTCAAGACACAAGGGTCCACAAATACTGTATTATTTGGAAATAACTACAAAGCTCATGATGCAGTAAAAGTTTGTCACGATTGCAGAATTAGTGGGCGATGAATGATTGCGACCTTTCTGAACGTAGCTTGTGTGTTTTGTCCTCCATCCATCTCAAAATGATGCCGCTGCGCTTAAAGGTTAAAGGGTCAGAGGGCCGAGTGCAACTTCAGTTGAAAATGTGTCAAAGTCATGATGACATGCAGCATGTCAACTGATGGAGCTCGTGTCGACCACCCCTGGTTGTAAAAATCCCCAAATATTCCTTGAGTTCAGAATTTTTCAACATTCGGGTATTCGGGTCATTCAACTGTTATCCAGTGTATGTTATCTAAAACTCTGCAATCGCTGTACAATTGGTGGCTATTAGTCGCGAAGGACAGCGCAAATGAATAAATGCTGATTGTGGGTTTTTTGCCAAGGGCCATCCCTCTTCCTTTTGTCACAGTTCAAGTCTGCCCCCCCTCCCCACCCCGCCCCTACCCTCCTTGCACTTGACAGCATGGTAGCCCAATTGCAGCATTTCCACATGAAATGCAGCAGACCTCAAGGGGACTTGTTATAGACACTGGCTGGACCGCTCACCACCCTTTCACAAGGGTCCTGTGGTGCAGACGGGTGATGGATAGATACGGCTGGTTTCATTCAGCCTGTGGGCTATTGATCACCCTTACAGTATAGGAGAGAAGGAAATCACCCGTTGGTGTGTCTGCATCCCTGCAGAAAAGAGGACTTGCAGAGAATACACACTCTACGGTGGTGAAAAATGACACAATATGAGCTGGCTGCAAAGTTGGCACAAAGACAACAAATAGAAGATTGTTCCAGTTTGATGAAAACTTGACTAAGGACCTAAGGATTTATTTATTTTATTTATTTTTTTAGCCACAATGCCTTTTTTTGTCTTTCTTGTTGCCTGGCAACACTGAGGTTTTTTTTCCTCATCACAGTGCAGTCTGTTTTGTTTTATTATCAGTGTAGAAAAATTGATAATCCTTTTGGGACACAGTAATCTAATTCATTCAGCGCTGATGAAAAATGGAAATATCACACATCATAGCATTCCAAAAAACATGACTTGACAAGATTTGCTTTTATTCCTGAAGACAGTGGCGTTATTCGTTTGCGTGACTTATTTTTATTTTGCCAAATAACTCATGGCAAGGATGACATCGCGATATACCCAATTTCTAAGGCAGACCGTTGCGGTGTAGAATATAATATATTAAAGTATGTATTTTTTGGACGCCACCATTGTGACATCAGATATCTGAATCTCTGGGCAGCAAGGTGGAAGAATGGGTTGACAAAAATATAGCCACGCCCATCACTTGACTGCCTGTCTATAGTGTATGTGATGTGCAAATACATTAAATATATGTACATCATCATGAACTCGGCACTTGTTTGTTTTTTTAATTTTATTTTATTCACTCACTGACGTTACATCTTCTCTCAATGTCTCAAGAAACCCATCCATCCATCTTCCGGGTTGTCTTCGGGTGGTTGGTGGGGTACACGTTGAACTGGTTGCAAGCCAATCGCAGAGCACACATAGATTAATAACAACCATTCAAACCCAAGGACAGTTTAAAATGTCCAATCAACCCACCGTGCATGTT